AACAGCGGAGACTCGCTGTCTCTACATGCAATGCATGTGGCAAGCCGTCAACGTGAAGGAGAAGAGCACAGCGGTGGCACGCTGTATTTGCAGGCAGTGTATAGCTGTAGGGCAAATTGGACATTGGCTGGAGTGATGAAGGTTGGCGACACCCATCAGTTGAAAAAAGAACAGAGCCCCGGGCTGGACGGGTGGCTGTGGTGTGATGAGTGCACCCAAGCATGGTACAACCCACTTCTTAAATACATATGCACCCAGAAAATAATACAAGGGCCATTACATAACCGGTCAGCCCACTGGGCAACATCTTAACAAAAGAATACTGGGTACAAAACACAATACATAGGGTCTGCTGCAGAACAGGTTAGACTTAAAATACCACAAATGTCTCAACAAAGAGTTAAATAAAAACAGCAGGCGAATTATAAAGGAAGAAATGTCCCATCTGTAACAACACACACGTGCATGTACACACAAGTACATTAGTGGAAAAGAAAAATATCTAAAACTCTCTGATATGAATAAATCCTTTGTTGTTCCTTTGTGTGCCAGTCCTCTGGTCGTAAAATGTATAGCCAGTAATTTTTTTTTTAGAAACATACACAAAACACAAGATGTTTATATTGCTTCCATGATCAGGCCAGGGACCAAATTACAATCTAGTGACGATGCCAGACTATGCATACGCCTCGCTATTGTGTAACAATGATGAAATTTTTGAGCTATTTTTGGATCCCATTTTGCAGATGACATCGATCTCTTTTTCGGCCTAGAACTTCACTACAAATTGCTTGGATTGATCATATTTACAGGAAATGTGCTACCCCCGATCATAACCACTTCATGGCGGGGCATTTTTCAATATTGATGATGCTGGGCCGGCATAATTATCGTTTTTTCCATTTTCAAAATTCTTCAAAAATTCATCATTTCATTTAACGGACGTTTATAGCCGCACAAAGTAATCTTTAGGCACTACTCTAAGTTGACAGGTGACCTTCACTGATGCCCGAGTATTTCAGCCAGGTCTGCAGCGTTGTAAAAGGAGCCCAGATTGTGCAGTGTTATGTAGCTTTCTTTTGTTCACGAAACTGTCTCAGTGCACTGCTGTCCTCTTTTCAATAGGGGCCAGATTAGCGTGCAGTGGTGGTGGAGCGCTTTTGTCCCCGGTGGTAATCCGCTCGCTCTAAATGCCCCAAACCCTGGTATACGGTTTCAAAACAAGGCTGGATTAGCACCCCTTTGAGAGTGAAAAATGTCGATAATGCCCAGCAGCCTGGTCTTTTGTTTGGAGTACGGTCTTTCGTTACAGGGCCCTGTTTCCTTTGTCCGAGTTCGGAGACCCCGGCCACGCATTTAAAGCATACGTCTCTGATTCCGGAGTCCCCAGCAGGAATTGGTTAATGAAACTTTCCTTTCATGTGGTATCTCTAAAAGCAGATTGAAGAGATTTTTCAGTCAAAGCTCACACCGGAGGTGTTGAAATTTTGTGGGTTGGCTTGTTTAATTGTGCCGATGAAAACATTTATGCAAAAACATTTACGCAAAAAAAAGAAAGTTTTGCCGAAGTTTACATTATGCATGAAAATGTTGCCATTCAAAATTTCCATTGATTCACTGTAGCAAATTATATGTTTACCGTCGCAATTTTTCAAAATAGCCATTAGAAATAGTTTTGCCATAGATTCCAATGGTAACGGCAATTTGCCATGTCATGCGTGTTGACCCTGCAAAAGGTACAGTGCAATCATTGAAAAAAGTTAATGTGAAAAAAGTAGATTTTTGACGAAGCTTACCTCGTGCCTGAAAATATTGCCTGACAAATCTCCATTGATTTACTGTGGCAAATTTTATAATTATCGTGGAGATTTATCAAAATAACAATCGGAAATAGTATTGCCATAGACTGAAAGGGCAACAGCCAAGAAGGCCACGTTGGCTGCCGGCATGTTTAAGTTTTCTCATCTCGTTATTTTCCCAATGGCGGCATGTTTAAGTTTTCAAATCCTGTTATTTTCCCAATCTCATGAGAAAACTGACATCAGTATCAAGTGACCTGATAAAAATGACGTCATCGTCGCTTGAAAAGGCGACATAAGCAGAAACAAGCAACATCACTAAATTGTGGTTTGGTCCCTGACCTGATGATGTACAAGTTGTATGTACTCTTCTGTGCTGCTTTGCTTGTTTTGGAAAATGTAATAAAAATTCTGTTGATGTATTTCATTTTCATTCCTTCTCAGAGCATGTAATTACTGTGTTTTGCCTTATGCTGCTTAACTAAATCACTGCTCAGAAAGGGTTTTATGGGAAGTGAACATGTGTGGGAATCTATGCTTCATTCATGCATCAAAGATGACAACTACCATGTACACGTAGACTCTATAACTCTTTAGCATTATCATAAAAAGCCTCCCAAATTTAATAGCCTTAACCTGCAGTAAGGCCATAAAAAGTAATTTAAAATGGTACAAATTACATGTACAATTCCGAGTCTAGTCTATTCCCATCATACTGTATTCCCCGCCACTGTGTCTGCATTCCCCTGGTGTGCTGCTGACCCACACCACATGCACAATGACTTTACCACGTGGGGACCAAGGTAGGCTGCATCAGAATGATTTGGCTGTAGCCTCAAATTACACACAAATCCATGAAAACTGTCTGCAGCCACTTCCATAGACACATGCATAAATTCCAGTCACAATCAATTAATTTGCACATGGCTTCTTATACTGGTACTTGCATGTGATCAATGTGTCCAACGTCTAAAAAGGATTTGTAATGCAAGTTGCAACAAGGCACAGAGGCAAATGGGTCTGGGAAGCAATCGCACTTTATTGTCGTCAATGCCCACTTTTTGAGGACACTACAGCAAGTGAAGAGGGAAACCACAGCTCTTGCTACAGTCGCTATTGTTTAGATCCTCATAAGAGTAAAAGCGTTATCTTTATTAATAAGGAGTCAATCCAAATCATGTACCAGTATCTTTAACATTTCCAATTTTGTATGATTCAACCCGCTAATTTTTCTTGGTCTGTCATCCATTCTAAATGTTAGGGCAAGATGGTGGGATGACTGCTTGCCAACTGTACAGGCTGTTTGAGGATAGCACAAAGAAGATTCTCGTAATTGATGTAAGATCAAGTGAGCAATACAAGTTTTCACGTATACAGAATGCACAGGTCATCAACGTTCCTGAAGAAGTTATCAAGCCTGGGTGAGTATAATGACATCTACCGTACCAGGTTGTATCGTACAAGTGTTGTCAGTTTACATGTTGGCACAATGTGTTGAGTGTGTGCATGTACTTCAGTGGGGCGTTGTTGCAGACATGAGCATGTTTCTGTGGACCAACAGATTACAGCTTTCAGGAGAAAGAAACCTGGTAGCCCTTAAAAATGATACGATATTGATGGCAGTTGTTGAAAAGTAAATTGAGTAAAATCATTAGCTGCAGAAATGTGCTCAAATTGAATAGGTATTTGGGCAGAAGAGGATGAAGGAAAACTAGAGGTCTCTGTCTGTACAACAGAAGAGAGGGCTTTTTCAGTCAATTCAAGTTATTTCCTATAAACAAGACATTTTCTTGCTCTGGCTATTCAGTATTGCATCATTACGTATCCTGGTGAATATATTACGGGTTTGCCCTAAGTCCGACAAGTGCATTTTCTTAACCTTTGTATACTTTAAGTGTTTGTGAGACAATCTCAGACTCATGCGGGTGGGGCTGTAACCACGGAGGAAGGACACCTACATGTACTTGCTCAACCTTAAGTGCAGATACATGTACATGTATCTTGGATCAACTGGAAGTACGGCAATCTTCTGCAGTTTATTTTATGCGTATAAGGTTCGGTCTCAGTTTGTCATAGTTATTAATTCCATTTGTAAAAATAATCATCTATTTTCTGCATGTGGATATTAATTTACATTGTAATTCATTTGGCAAGGTTCAAAAAGAAGTGTCTGTTATTCTTACAAAGTAACATTAACTTAGTGTATTGAAATGCAAAAAACCTAGAGATTTCACAGGTGTTAAAAAAACATGGGCTGTGTTGGCATTTTTCGGGAAGCAAACTATGAAAATATCACAACAGATAGAAAACATTGACACGTCATAAACCACTTTGTGCCGGTTGGATTTCTCTCGAATGGGATGTGACGGCGGGACCTTTTCTAAATTTTCCGTTTTCAAAATTCTTTAAAAATTCATGTGTTCATTTACTGGACATTTACACCCTCAAAAACAACTCTGTGGTGGCTATTCTATTCTGTCAGGCAACCTTCATTGACGCCCAAGTATTCAGCCCAGGCCTGCAGCCCTGTAAAAGAGAGCCCAGAATTGTGTGGTGTTGCATAATTTCCTTTGTACCGGTGAATGCCAGTAGCCTCTTTTCATACGCAGCTGGATTAGCAAGCAGTGGCACTGTGTCGCTCATCGATGGGGCCCTGGAGCACTTTTGTCCACGGTGCTAATCCACGGGCACGCTATGCCCAAAATAGTGGTATACTGTTTAAAAACAGTGCCGGATTACCTTCAAAAAATGGAAGTTGAAAAATGATGGCAATTCCCAGCAGCAGGTCCTTTGTTCTGAGTACAGTCTTTTGTTACACAGACCAGCTCTTTTGTCCGAAACTAGGCACCCAGGCTCTGTGTGTAAACACACGGTGCCCGAAACCAGAGTCCCTGGCGGGAAGTGGTTAAGGATACATAATTTGCTCAGATTGACCCGAGTTAGTGGCTGTTGAAAATTGTGTGCAAAACCTATAGTGGAAAATTAAATATTCAAAAATCAATAACAAATTAGGTACTGATGTCATCATGAGGTAATAAATTAAGCAAAATATTTTTGATCAGGGTCTTTGTTGCCTGTAACTTTGATGATGATCAAGCATTTCAAAGTTACCAAAATGGTAGCTTGAAAGCGTGTACAAAGTCAATGGAACGAATAAATATTGAAAAATCCCCAAAAAAATCAGAACAAAAAGAATGCCTTTTTGGCAAAGTTGTGAAAAAGCCAAAAAGAAACTGGAAATTTTGTCTATCTTATGGACAAAACAAATGGCTTTTTCACATTTGTCAGCTTTGAAATAAAAATGTTATTGTCACACTGTACTGCTTAAAAATATGGGCCCTTTTTGCAATCTATTCACTGCAAATAACTATCCCTTAGTCTTGCAGATACATTTTGATCACAAATTTGAAAGCAGTGCTCGTGTTTTACGGAGCGCGGTAGATTAAAATGTTTGTAAAGAAATCAACACCAAATTCAATATCACTAGAAAGAGAGAAACAACAGACTGTCCATGACAGGGACAAATATAAAAAAAGCCAAATTTTAAGATTGGAGATAAGTAATTTTTTTCTGAATTTCCAAAACTGCTAAAAATACTATTACTTCAATTTCTGTTCAATAAACAATCATTTGATTTTTGAATCAGCTCTATCTCTTGTAAAAATGATTTTATCGCACACCCTCCACAATATCTGGGCCAGCACTGAGATGGCACCAGACAATCCTAGACAGTTGCAATGTAGACCACTGATGAACATGACCGAGAGCAAAAAGTCGTGGCCGCGTTGCTAACAGTTAGGAAAATGTGATTGCTAGAGAGGAGATACTTCTGTGACACACTGCCAGCATTGCCATTGCCGATAGTAGAAACGGTACGTTTCCGGTGTTTTGGGTGGTTTTTTTCTGACACTGCTATTGTGTTAATCACACTTTCAACAAAAATTAAGCAAGAAAATAACATTTGGCAAACGGATCTGAGAAGAATTAGATTTAAATGCACATTATGAAATTAATGTCATTTGTCACCTGATGATGTCATCATCACGTGATGAATATTGGTCTATAATACTTCCCTTTCAAAATACCTGCAAAGTTTCAAAGCAGTTGGACATCTACTTAAGGATATATTGGTTAGTGAAGGATTCACGTGACTTATAACACGACGTCATTATCACAGATGTCATTTTGCGTCTGTAACATTTCCCGTTCTAGCTATCTGCAAGTTTTGACCAAATCTGACATACACTTCCGATGATAGGGTACACCTGTAATGTCACATAACTTGTTACCTGATGACGTCATCATCACATGATGTAAATTTTGGTCTATTTATACGACGTTCCTTTCTAGCTATCAGCAAAGTTTCAACCAAATTGCACATGTACATTGTACTTCATGGAAACCTAGGGCTTTAAAAGATGCACCTTAATGTCACTTGACTTGTCTCCTGATGATGTCATCATCACATGTGGTCAATTTTGGTCTTAAACACTACCCTTTCAAGATATCTGCATTGATTCAACCCAATCAAACACGTACTTCAGGAGATATAGGGCTTTGAAAAATGCACCTTTCATGTCACATGGCTTGTCTCCTGATGACGTCATCACATGAGGTCAATTTTGGTCTGTAACACTTCCCTTTCTAACTATCAGCAAAGTTTCAACCTAATCGGACATGTACTTCGAGAGATGTAATGCTTTGAAGTTTGTGCCTTAAATGTCATGTCACATGACACATGATGATGTGATTATGATGATGTTCGTGGACCCTTGTTGGTGGACTAAAACACTGTGTCTAACTTTTGGTCAGTCAGATCAATAAAAGTACTCAAATCTGGCTGTTGAAAAATGTGTACAAAGCCTGTGATAAATTTTATGATAAATCATCTGACGACTTCATCATGAAGTCATGCTTCGACATGCATCTATGTTATAGGGGCTTTGCTTGAGGCAACTTTGATGAAGATTCAGTCTTGCTAAGGGACGAAAATCCTCCATAGAATAACTGTGTACAAAAGAAATAGGATTTTCAGAGAAGAACAAGCTGGAGAACAAATCAGGACAAAAA